CTCCAGCCCTGGCATGCGGCCTCTTTGTCTGCTTGGGCTCTCTGCCCTCAGTGTCCACGTGCTGTTGTCCTGTGTGCGCATCTCTGTGTCCAGATGCCCTCTGCCTTTTTTTGTGGTGCTGGAGCTGAACCCAGGGCCTCAGGCCTAGGCCCGTTCTCTATCCCAGCCCTTTTTCAGTGAGGACAGCTGTATTGGATTAATGCCCACCCTGAGGGCTTCTTTTGAATTCAATCACTTCTGTAAAAAACACTATCTCCAAATAAAGTCACATTCCGAGGTCCTGGGGGTTAGGACTCCCACCCATGAATCTGAGGGGTCACACTCCAATCCATTCTGCCCCTTAATCTCATCAGACTCTCACAGTGGGCACATGGAGACCCGCCCCTCCATCCTCTGGCCCGGACATATCAGGGCCCTTCCCTGGTCAGGAATGGAGGTGAGGGCTCTCTCTGAGTGGTAGAGGAGCTCAGTGTCTGGTTGACTCCCCACACCTGACACAAGGCGGCAGGACCAGGTTCTGCCAGTCTCAAGAGGAGCCACGTCTTGCTTGTCTCTTGAAACCAGTGTGAAGTGAAATGTCACTGGACACTTTCCTCTGCACCCCTGATCATGTTTCTTGCAGATGTGGTCTACTGTGCATTGAATCCCCGGTGCTCTGTCACTGAGCTGCATCTCTAGCCTTTTGAGACGGGGTCTCACTAATGTGAGGCCCAGGCTGGCCTCAAACTTGGAATCCTCCTGCCTCAGCCTCCTAAATTGCTGGATTACAAGGGTGCACCACCATGCCTGGCCACTGTTCATGTCTTCTGTCGACTTTGTAGCTTTTCTTGTGCATTTCTGAGGATGCCTTTATAAATGTATGTAAATACACATGGGACATCTAGTGACATTGGGCAGGTGTGGAAGAGCCTCAGCAGCTTCTCCATGACAGTGGTTGGTCTACCAGGGACACAGGGAACCAATAGACAGGGTCCCTGACTGTTTGTTGAGAAGTAGCCCTTGTAGTTGTGGATGGAAAAGAAACTGAGGCTTCAGCAAGAAAGCACAAGCTCAGGACTCTAAAAGGTGTTGGGACCACACATGGTCAGTGTCCAAGACTCATGTGGAAGGGAGCTAGTGCCAGGAGCCCTGACCATGGGTGGGGTCCAGGAAGGGGTCAGGATGGGCTATGAAAGGGAGGCAAGGGGGGACTTGGTGCTGGTCACAGGGGTGCCTGGTGTGCACCGCAGCCCTGGCCAGAAGTCAGGTGTGTTACCCTGGCCCCATCCTCCAGCTGCCCCAGATGCCACACCATCCCAAGGAGAAGGCAGCCAGGCCAGTCCCACTTATGGCCACTGGGTGGCGCCAAGCATCCATGCACACACTGGGTTTGCTAGGAGTCAAGTCTGGGGCATGGGGGAGGGAAGCAGTCCCCCACCCCCACCCCCACCGGCACCCACCAACACACACCCATCACCACCACCACCACCACGGAAGGAACACCAAGCTGTGGATTCCGGAGGAGCTGGAAGTCCCGGGCAGAGGGGCAGGTATGCATCTGTGGGGCCATCTGCCCTGCCCGGGTCTTTCCTTCTTGCTACTCTGCCAGCCCCCTAGTCCTTCCTGCTACTCTGCCAGCCCCCTAGTCCTTCCTGCTACTCTGCCAGCCCCCTAGGCCAGCAGGTGTGCCTTATGTCCCCTGGTGCTGTTTAGAGGCTTAGCAGTCAAGAGGGTAGGAAACCTGCCCCAAGCCAGGGGAAGGATGGGACAGAGCCCAGGGCTGCCCACACAGCTGGTTAAACACCAGGCAGGCTATCTGCCTCCAGCCTGTCGGGAATGTGGAGCCGCCCTGGAGAGGGAGGGCTCGCCAGCCTGGCTCTCCGTGGGTGGGAGGAGAGTCTCTGGAGGTGGGCTCCTCATCTGGTAATGTCCTGATAGGTAGGAGGGAACCAAGCAGAGTGCAGAGTCACCCGCTGGTCCCCCAGGCTGGAGACTTAGACCGTGGGGCATGCACTGCAGGGAGGGCTGTGAGCAGGTTCTGAGCCCAGATCATGGAGCATCAGTCCAGACCCAGAGCTGCCCCTCCAGGCTGGCACCCCACCCCTTCTGGACCCTGGGCTCTTCAGGCCTCTCTACCCTCTGGTCTGCCTACACACTGGCTCCCCAGTGAGCACACACCAGGAGCCAGTCTCCTGGCATGAGCCAGCCTCGCACACTTACCACCAGCCCCCAAGATTCAGGCCCCCGTGGCCGGTCATGCTCGGACACCCTGACAGTCCCACCTCACACAGGCAGCCAGCTCTGCGCCCTGATTCATCTGCCCGCCTAGGTGGCTCCATGGGGCGGGCCCCAGGCTGGGGAGGGCGGGGCACCCAGGGAGACTTAAAGAGTTCCCAGGTCTGGGCCCAGTGCCCTGCACCTGATGCCGCAGCTCCACCATGGCCGAGACCACCAAGCTCCAGCTCTTTGTGAAGGTTCTGGGCAGACTGGGCTGGGGGAAGGTCCAGGGGAGGGGGCTCTGTGGATTCTGCTTTTCTGGGGACAACTGAGGCAGGGGTTGCCCCAGCAGCTTCTGAGCCCTTCCCCTGTGGTGGGCTGAGTAAACTGGGGGCCGAATAGGGGAGGATTCACCCCCTAAGGGGTGGGGGTAACTCCGGACCTCCTGGTGGGGAGGTGGACCTTGGTGGGGAGGTGTGGGTGGCTTGGCAGGCCTGACTAGTGCCAGGCAGCTCCGGCACTCAGGTCCAAACCCAGATCTACAAGCAGCAGGTGTCAGCGCCCTTGCCCGGGGCCTTGAGCTGGGGGAGCAGGTGGGCTGCCAGCTGCTGTGCCCACTTTGGCAGAGGGGATCACTCAGAAACAGCTGGCTGGGCTCACCCCATCCTTGTAGAACTTGGGGCCTGGAGCCCAGGGGTGTAGCCTGTGCCCAAAATTAAAAAAAAAAAAAAAAGAGGTTCTGGGGGCCTATCCCCAGGGCCAGAGTCCCTCCAGGCTCCCAGCTAGCTGCCCTGTGCCCCTCCCTACCTCCCAGGGATCAAGCCAAGGGCCCTCTCTGGACACTTGGAGAGGCCCTGCCCAACCAAGCTGAGCCCTGGCGAGGCTCCAGTCCCACTGGCAGTGGGGAGCAGGGTCCCACCCAGGTTTGTGGCAGGAGTCCTGGGTCTGCTCCCAACTGGAACACCCCTGCTCCACCCCCCTCCCCAGGCCAGTGAGGACGGGGAGAGCGTGGGGCACTGCCCTTCCTGCCAGCGGCTCTTCATGGTCCTGCTCCTCAAGGGTGTTCCCTTCACACTCACCACCGTGGACACACGCAGGTGAGACCCCAGCCCCGCACCCCTCCCTGGCCTCTGCCCACCTGGGCCGGCTGCCTCCCTCCCACCTGGTGCCCACAGGGCACTGGACGTGCTGAAGGACTTTGCGCCAGGCTCACAGCTGCCCATTCTGCTCTATGATGGGGACGCCAAGACAGACACGCTGCAGATTGAAGAGTTCCTGGAGGAGACACTTGGGCCACCCAAGTGAGAACTGGAGGGGACAGGAGGCAAAGATGGGCCCCCAGGATGCAGCCTGGGAAGGTCACTGGGGGGGAGAGGGGCTGGAGGCACACCGATGTGACCTGAGGCCTCACTCCCCCAACCCCACAGCTTTCCCAGCCTGGCGCCCCGTTACAGGGAGTCCAACACAGCGGGCAACGACGTCTTCCACAAGTTCTCGGCATTCATTAAGAACCCAGCGCCAGGGCAGGATGATGGTGAGGCGCGGGCACGTGGGCACGTGAGTGTGGGCAGGCACCCCCAGGCCAGGTCCTCATCAGCCCCCTCCTCTAGCCCTATACCAGCAGCTGCTGCGTGCACTGGCCAGGCTGGACAGCTACCTGCGCACACCCCTGGAGCATGAGCGGGAGCAGGAGCCACAGCTGCGCGAGTCCCGCCGTCGCTTTCTGGACGGTGACCAGCTCACACTGGCTGACTGCGGCCTGCTGCCCAAGCTGCACATTGTGGATGTGAGCGTGGGAGCAGGGTGGCTGGCCCGGGGAAAGCCTTGGAGCTAGGCACTGACCGCACCCCGCCTCCCTCCGCAGACTGTGTGCGCGCACTTCCGCCAGGCACCCATCCCTGCAGAGCTGCATGGCGTCCGCYGCTACTTGGACAGCGCACTGCAGGAGAAGGAGTTCAAGTACACGTGTCCCCACAGCACCGAGATCCTGGCAGCATACCGGCCCGCTGTGCGCCCCCGTTAGCGCCCCGGCCTCTTCCCAACCCATTCTCGCTTATATAGCCCCATAAAGGTATCTCTGCCCCCAGTGAGCGTGTCCTGACATCCAAGGGGCAAGAGGCCCACGATTACTGCCACCCAACCCCCACTCCCACCATGGTGAATGGGGACAAGATGACCATCCCAGAATGGTGAGGCCAGGGCTCCCAGTGGGTGGAGCCCCGTCCATCCTCCTATGCAGAGTAGTGCACAGGCCTGGGGCCTCCTGCCCATGTCACCTAGGCAGAGGCGTCAGGGGGACTGGATTGGGTTCCCAAACCAGTCAGGCTAGGGTGGGGCAGGGTGCCCTGTATGGCCAAGGAGGGTGGGGAACAGAGGCCTGAGGAGCTCAACCTCAGGGCGCTGGGCCAGGTGGGTGGGGAAGGGCCCACATTCCTCAGTACTCCCAGGCTGCAGCCACTGCCCTCTCCAGCAGTGAGTTCAGCTGCGGGGCCACAGTGGTGGCCTTCCACATATGCGTCTGCATGGGATGTCCTCCCAGGCCTGCACCAGTGTGGGCCTGTGCTCTGCCTGCGTGGGCAATGAAGGGACAGGACAATGCTGGAAGCCTTGGCCCTGGGCTGGTCATGCAGGAACGGCTAGACTGCTCTGAGAGAGCTCAGTCGCCCCAGATCCACCCAGGAAGAGCCTCCTCCCAGGAGCTGGTGCCTGGGTGTGCCTGTTTACACCCCGTGCTCCCAGCCCAGGGCCCGACCTAAGGGGGGTTCCTGCTCCCCTCCCCAGGCCAGCCCCCAAGAACCAGAGCCTTCACCTGAGGGAGCCCTTTATTTTATAGGGCAGGGACTTGGGCAGCAGCCCTACTCTGCACACAGCAGATGGGCTGCCACAGATGGAAGTCGAGGCAGGGTCTCTGGTGGCAGGGACTCAGGCTGCTGCTCTATTCACCAGGAGACTCCTGACAAGGCCACACGTTTTGCTGCACTTTAGGTTTCATCGAAGTCTACGCCACCAGCTGGCTTCTTACTGAGAGAGAAGAGAGGGTGACCCAATGGGGGTGTGGAGGAGCGGGTAGGGATCCAGGTTAGGAGGGACGGTGGGCAGGTACCTTTTGAAGCCAGGGTTGATGAGGGATTCCCCTGGACACCGTTTCCTGACCCCAGGTCCAGGACCACCTCTCTGGGGATCGGGATCTGGAGAAAAACAGGAAGCAGGGCTTCTGAACCCAGCAGCACTCCCTGCCACGGCCCTATCTGCACTGACAGATCTTCTTTCCAAGCGTGAGGCCTGTTTTGGGGGGAGATAGTTCCAAAGGAAAGAGAACACCCAACCTACCTCCCAGGTCCTCACCTTACCTGGTAAGAAGAGTTGAGATCCTGCTGGCTGGGGACTCTTCCTGGGGCTGGCAGCTGTCTTTTCCACAGCTGGAGAGAAAGCCCGTGGGCACCCTACTCAGTGCAAGAAGGCGGAGCATGACAGGGACCCCAGAGAGGGTACAGATGCCCACCCTACCTGCCAGTTGCTGCTCCAGGCTGCACACGCGCTCTGCCAGGCCCAGGGTCAGTGCCTGCAACCTGGGGGCTGCTTCTATACCCGGCACCTTGGAGAGGTCGAAGACCAGTGTTGATGGCCCCCCTGAAAGTGTCAGGGATGCTCTATCCTCCTGAAAGCTCAGAGTCACCCCTTGATGATGGCAGGCTGCCCTGGGGGAGGAGAGGCAGGAGACGCTGTGGCCAGGCCCTCACCCCTGTTCCACCCCGACTCCTCCTGCCTGCCTGTGGCTCACCTGAACCGGGAGGTGATGTCCTCAGTTTCACTAAGACCAAAGCGGGCTTTCTGCAGGGCACAGGGACTTGTCACCAGCTGCCCGGGACCCTAGACCCACTGAAAGGCCCCAAACCTGCCCGACCCTGGTAACACCTGGGCTCCCAGACCAACTTTAAGACTGCAGCTACAACGTGGGGAAAGGGAGAGTTCATGCCCCTTTGCGGGTCACAGGTCCCTACATCCCACAGGAGGCTCGGGCTCAGTGCGGGGTGTGGCCAGCTTCCCGACCCGCCCGGGCGTCCTTACGCACGAGGGCCGCCAGGCTGTCCCGCGAGAAGCTGGTGCTCCAGAGCTGCGCGGCGTCGGTGACACTGTGCGGAAGTTGTCGTCAGTCGCGGCCGCCCGCCAAGCTCCCGCACCTCACCTCCCGGGACCCCACTCACTAGAGGTTGAAGCCGCCGCAGTCTGCGTCCCCACTCTCCTCCCGCTCGCAGTAGCACACGAAGCGGGGTGGGCCCGGGCCAGGCGGCAGCGTGCAGAGCGGAGGCGACAGCGGCGGCGGCACCATGGCCGATCCGCAGACGTCGGCCACACGGGGGCGCTGGGGTCAGGACTACAGGCCCAGGGCGCCTGCGCCGAGGAGCGGCTTGGGAGGCCGACGCGGCCGACGTAGGGCTTAGGGCGCCTGCGCGGGGCGGAGTCTTCAGGGGCGGAGCTTCCAGCCCCGGTGGGAGGGACTCAGCTCCGGGACTGCGCGGGGCTTGGCGCTAGGCTGGCGGAGTCGGGGCGGGGCTTGGTGCCTGGAGGGTGCCGACTCAACCTCCGCGTCTCTGGCTGTGCGCTCTGCGGCCCCAACTCCAGCAGGGGTCTCTTCGTGCCTCTCCCCTGCCCCGCCCATGGTCCCCGAGTCCAGGGTTCCCTCAACAGTGGCGCGCACAGCCCCCGCGCTCCACGCGAGGGCCGCTTCTACATCCCACCCACTTACTCCTCCCTGCGGCCAGTTAGCCCTCCTCGTCCCCCAGGTGTGTCTCACGTGGCTTTAGATGCCAAGCGACGCTTCCTAACCGGGACCAGCCCAGATGCGGAGTAAAACCTGGCAGTCCGGGGGTTATGAGCCAGCGCTCCTGAGCCTTCATGTTGTCCTATCCCTGAGGACCCAGTGGACGATAGGCAAGGCCTCGGACCTCTTGGAGCTTGAGAGATCCAGTGGGAGAGACCATCAACATGACACCTTCCGGTAGGGCCAAGCTCTAGGCAGAAGCTGTAGCAGAACCAGAGCCCTGTGGTTGGGAACAGCTGCCTGTTTGAGCTCTGACCTAGGGAAGAGAAAGGGGGATCCCAGGAAGGGCCCTGCTGGACAGGTCTGCTCAAGACTTTGCAAAAGGGCTGGAGTGAGGCATGGTGGCCTTGGGGAGAGCTGTTGGTGGTTTTGTAGGCTGTCAACCTATCTCCCTGAGCTAAGCCTGCCTCATTTCCCAGGTTTCCTGGTTTGCTCCCCTCCAGGCCCTCATAGGCTCTGCTGCAGGGCCTTTGCACATGCTATCATCTGGTCTTGGATGTACTCACCTTTTTCAGGTCTTTCCCCAAATGCGCCCTTCTCAGTGAGCCTGAGAAGAACATTTCAACACCTGTCCAACTCTATCCCCTTTCCTGCTCCATTTTCAGTTTCCCTTGCTTGTGACTACATAGAATACATTCTAGCTTACTCATCATGGTAGCATTCTCTAGGATGGCCCAGACCCTTATGTGACCCCCCCCTTCCCTCAAGCTGCACCTAGTGATTTGCTTCTAGTCACTAGAATATGGCAGAAGCAATGGCTCTCACTTTGTGCTCCCTCCTAACCTGCTCACCACGACAAGGTGGCCCAGGGAGACCTCAGGTGGCAGAGCCTGCAGCCTGCCTTCACCTGCATGGGAGCCCGGGGCCACCCCTCATCAGCTTCCCTAAGGCTCGCTGCACCCACTCCTGCGAGGGGGGGGTGCCTGCAGGGTGACATGGCAGAGGAGGAAGGGCTGTCCCCCAGAGCCTCAGGAGCACAGCCAGACCACAGCTGATTTCAGCCCAGGGAGACTAATTTGGTAGCTCTAGCCTCAAAACCTGAGATAATAAAGGCACGTTGGCTGTTTCCAGTCCTGGAGATGGAGCACAGGGTGCTCCAGCACAGAGCTACATGGCCAGTCCTTCTTATTTTTTAATTCTGATACAGGGTCTTGCCAGGTCACTCAGGCTGGACTTGAACTTGTGACCCTTCTGCCTCAGCTCCCAAGTAGCTGAGATTACAGGTGTGCACCACACGCAGCTATAAATGCATGTTTGAAGCCACAAGTTTGTGATAATGTGTTACAGTAGCCATAGGAGATTAATGCAAGGAATAAAAATTAGTTCTAAAACATAAGAAAACCATAAAACCCACATTGGAGTGATTTCGAGAGTGTCTGGGAGCATGGCTTGCCAGCCGGTCTGGGCAGTTGACCCTTTCCTGGGTAAGCAATTTTATTTCAGTGGATATGGGTGCCTGTTACTAGGTGGGAAATGAGGCAGGTGGGCCTCAGGAGCAGAGAAGGGGAGGGTCTTGGGAGGTTCCTCACCACCTGGGCTTGAAGTCAACCTGTGAGGGGGACAGGGAAGACAAAGGGCCCAAGGCAGTGAAGAGGAGCAAGAAGTACAGCGAAAGGGCATCAGGGAGGCAGGAGACAGCTGGGCTTGAGGTTCCGGAGGTCATAGGAAAGTCCGAGAACAATGATGTTGAGCCAGACTTCAGAAGAGGGAAGGAGTGAACTAAATGGATGGCTAGGGAGGACAAACCCAGTCAGTGTGCAGCCTGTGCAAAGGCCCTGGGGCAGGCTCAAGGCTGGCATATTCAAGGGATAAGGCCAGTAGCACCAGAGGGAGGCCTATCAGGGCAGACCTTGTGCTGGCCAGTGTAAGAATTTGACTTTACTCAGTGAGGTGAGACCCACTGGGTGCAGTCCTGAGCAGAGAGGACAAGATCTGACTGATCCTGTAAATGAGTTGCTGGGTGCTCTGGTGAAGAACTTGCTGACAGCTGCCCTGCATGGCCAGAGCCAGGTGGTGCAGGATATGACAAGTGTTAGGTGGAATTGCAGGGTTGGGGGATGACCACCTCTGAACCCCTAGTGTCCCCCAGGGGCTGCCTCAACCCAGAAGGAAGGGAAGGGTGTCCCTGAGGCGTGGTGAGGCTGCCTGCACCTCCTCCCCCCAGGCCTCGTGAGGTGATGGCAGGGGTTGGGGGCTAGATCCATGGGACTAGCCTGTGAGGGGTTCCGTGGGGAAGCGGGCCTCCTGCCTCTCTGCCTGAAGCCCCCACTGTGCCCTGCACTTCCATCCCTTCTCCTGGTCCTGGTCAAAGCTGGGACAGCGGACAGGTTGAGTAACTGGGTGATAGTTGGAGTGTGGTGGGTGACTGCGCCGGGCCAGGGCACAGCCAGCACACGTGTGGCTGGCTCTGGCCTTTCCCACACACAAGCACCCCCTGGGCAGTCCCCTCATGGACCAGGTGGGGGCCAGCAGGTACGGGCGTGTCAGAGGGGCTGTCTGGGGTCTATGGATGGGCCCAGAGGGTCCCCGTCAAGAAGACGTCTAACGAGAAGGGAGCAGGCTCGTGTCCGCGGTGCTGGCCGCGGAGTCCAGGGCGGGCTGGGCAGTGCTCCACCTCTGACTGTGCTTTCCAACAGGAATCCGCCCACCAGGTGAAAAGCAGAAATCCTAGCAGGAGGCGCCCCCGGGGGACGTCCCTCGACTGTGGAGTGCTGTGTCTGTCCCTCGTCCTCAGAGAGGGTCCTCTAGGGTGAGGCGGTTTGGCCCAGACACAAGGATCCAGTGTGGCACAGACATAGCTTAGGGCGAGTTCACCGAAGGGTGAAAGGGGAGAGCCTAGAGGGGCGGGCAGTCCCACCAGGGAGCACACTCTGGCCTCGTGTTGGGTGCCAGTGGAGACTGGGCTCCCGTAGCACGCTGGCTGCACCTCCTGGAGCCCAGGGTCCTGCACAGTGGTCATTGCCCACACTGCCCTGTGCTAAAACAGGGCAGGCACCTGTGTGTGGGCCTCAGGTTCCCCTTCCTGGCCTGGCATCACTGGGGGGAAGTCATGTAACTGTCAGCTGACCCTCGGATCAGCTTGTGGGCGTCTGTGCCACTGTGGGGACATGATGTATGTCCCTAAACCTATGGAAGACAGTGTTGGGCCTCTGTCTAGAATGTGGAAGACTGGCACCTCTGGGAGGGGCAACAGCGGGGATGGGGGTGAGCTGGAGGATGGTGAGGGGAGGGAAATGGCTCAGACTGCCTCAGCCTCAGTTGGAGAGGACCCTGCCGGCCCGGCCAGTGAGTAGTGGGTCTGGCAGCTGAGCGAGGGCTGTACCTCGGGTCTGGGTGCATGGGTCCAGCAGGGAGCCTGGACAGCCTTAATGCCTTTGCAGAGCTCAGCCTGGTCAGGAGGAGACCCAAGGAGTCTCCAAAGAGGGGTGGTCTCAGGATGAGCAGGGTCCTCTCAGCACAGGTGGGAGACACGGGGGTCTACCTAGGAAGCAGAAGCACCTTCAAGGGAGAACGCCGGCCATCAGTCCCATGGGCTCTGGCCCCCAACCCCTGCCACCAGGAGAATATCTGGGGAGCAAGAGAGGCCTTGGGGTTCTGGGATCCTCTTTTTAAGGTGAGGAGTGTTGAACCACGATGCAGAGACCACCAACTCCAATTTTAAACGGAATTACAGCAAGCTTGCATTGTGCACACAGAGAGCTGGCCCGTGACTTCCCCACCCTGACCTGGGCCAGAGATCAGCGCCCCTCAGGAAGGAAAGGTTTATAGAGACAAAAAGCCTCAAAAGGTGGTGTCTTGAGAACCTACAGCTGAAGGGATTCTGGCAAACGTGATGCAAGGGCAGATGGCAGATTAATGATCTGCATGGCTTGATATTTCAAGGTAGGGAGTAAATTCAGATCCCAACATCAGAATTCCTGAGGAGCCGCTGAGGTTTCAGAGAGGGTTGTTATCTGGTCGGGGGAGCCAGGCAGGGGTGAGTTCAGAGCCCGGCAGGAATCTCAGAAATTCACAGTAAAGCAGAAATAAGCTTTTCATGGCTTTGCGACAAGATGGCTCCCAGTGTTAAGATGGGATTAGGCTGGGGAGGAGTAGGTGGGGAAGGCAGGCAGGACGCTCTGCACAGCAGTCACAGGGACCTCCTGCTGGTCTGCTGGTTCTCACAGGTCTCCTAGAGCACCCTGTCTCCCTCTGCTTAACCTCTGCCCCGGGTGGGCTGGTGCTCAGGGTGACCTTAGGTAGGGACTTACAGCACTGTTGAGATCTACAGATCTCGCAGGACTCTGGGAGAGGACTGGCTCAGGAGGAAAGGCCCAGGGCCTTCAGCACAGGCTCTCAGACCACAGCTGGATGTCCCCTGTCCTTTCTTTGTCTCCTGTGTATCTCCCTTTTGATTTCTTCTCTCTACCTCAGCCTGGCCCTGCCTGTCGCCTCCCCCAGCCAGCAGAGCTGGCTCCCGTGGGTGGAGAGGTCCCCCTGCAGTGCTCAGCTTTGAAGGGTCTAGGGCCTGGGGTCCCCGGCCTGAGGGGCCCCCCATGCTCTGCCTCCCCTACAGTGAATGCACATCGCAGCTGGCTTTCACACACCATTTATTGTGCTTGGGGGGCTGTGGAGAGAAACGGGGCAAGAGCCCTGTGGGCACTCCAGCTGGATCCTTCACTGCAAAAGAAGGAGCAGCTGTGGGCCTGGTGTCTTAGGCCCTCTGGGCCCTCCTGGGCCCCACGCTCCCCACCCACCGCTGTTAGTGTGAGTCGGGGGACTTGACTGGGGGGGGCACCCCGGGGAAGGGCCCTGCCAGGCAGGGCGGCAGGGCACGGCTCAGCAGCTCCGCGGCTCCGAGGGTTCTGGGCACTCACCTGGGAGAGCACCGCGGCACACTGGTCTGGGGGAGAGAGAGGGCTCCGTCACCACCTCCACCTCCAGCCCCTTTCCCTAGGGCCCCGGCCCTCCCAGTCCACCATGTCCTGGCACACTCCTGCCTCTTCCTTGGCCCAGAGGGTCCAAAGCTGTCCCTGGACATCCCACATCAGGGATGGGTGGAGAGACCCGCAGGACATGTCCCTGACAGTCCCGTCTTCTGCAGCCCTAAGCTGGGATGGGCCAGCGCTCACCTGACTTGGGTAGCATGGCGCCCTGGCTGGGGTTCAGGCCCACRCGGGGTGCCAGTAGCTGCATCTTCTGGGCACCTTCAGGAAACAGCTCCGGGACGCGGACTGGGGGCAGGGAAGACGGGTGAGCAAAGGGGTTGGGCCAGAGCCCTTCCCCGCAGGTCTCAGGGGTCCGGAGGAGCCCCTGGGAAACAGGGGTTCCGCCCGCCGCAAGTGGGAGTGTGGTGGAAGGTGCACRTGGGCAACTCTGCAGACCAGATGCGGGGCACCGCTCCAAGGGCGAGGCCTGTGACCAGGGAAGGTGTCGGCTGCCCACCGTAGAGCTGCAGCCAGACGTTCCGCATGTCCCCCTTCTGCGTCTCGAAGTACACCACGGCGAAGTTCTTGTAGTCCGTGAAAGGCACGCGGATGTCAATCTGGGCCATAGCTGAGGGCAGGGGAGAGCYAGTGACTGGGAGCAACGCCTAGCTCTGGAGGGAAGCCCTGCCTCCACATGCCAATCAAACAGAATGCACAGGCCCCCAGGCACACACCCTCTGTGTCTGCTGCCCACCTGTGGGGGCCACCGCCGCCTCACCTGGGTTGCTGAACTGCCCATCCACTGCACCCTTGCTGAAGGTCGTGTCTATCTTCTGGCACCCACCGTCCGGCCTGGGGAGGAGCTGTCCATCCCTGAGCCTCGGCCCTGCCGGTGCCCAGGCCCAGGTCCTGCCTTGCCCTCTCTGACGGTCCCAGACCTGCAGGTGTCCTGAGGATGCTGCCCTGGCAGAGCCTAGCAGGGTCCCCTGTTCACCCTCACAACAGCCCTTTCAGGACACAGGTGCTTTATGTCTTACAGGGGAGGACAGTCCTCTGGGGTGGAGGCAGCAGTGTGGGGCTCAGGGCCTTCAGGTCTCCCCTGTGGGTCGGCACACACACACAGGACACACAGGCACACAGACAAGCAGTCACTCTGGTCTCAACACCCAGGCCTCGGGAGGGTTTGCAGGTGTCTGACTCCCTCTAGGGAGCAGGTGTGCTGGGGCTCCTATTTGGGTCTTGGCAGCTCAGGCCATCAGGAACCTGTGGTCGGGCCCCCTGGAGTATCAGGGATGCCTCTGGTTCCTTCTGGCCTTCACATGGCCTTACAATGGCCTTTGTCTCAGGTAAATCACCTGAATTGCAGGTGAGGCCGGTGGGGTCACTTACGTGGGGTACCCAAACTTGACATCCAGGTCGCCATTGGCCAAGAGGGTCACTAAAACCATGGGCATCTTCATGTCATCCTTGGAATCCTGGAAGCTCTGGTCATCTGACACAGCCCCGACTATGTACCAGATGCCCTGGAACTGCAGGGCAGAGCAGGAGGGCTGGGAAGTGGCCCCTGATCTCTGAGTCCAAGCCTACCATGTCCCTCCCTGCTACTCAGTGCTCATGACTTCTGCACATAGGTCAACCCCAGTACTGGGGGACAAGGCCCTGGGCAGTGGCGGTGAGCACAATCCAAAAGCTGAGCCAGAGGTCTGCTGTCCTCCCCAGTCCACCCCACTTTCTGGTCTGATGGGCCAGGCATCAGAGAGGGTCTTTCTTTAGGCCCCTGGCCCTGCTGAGCCTGGGTCAGAGAGGATGTGGCATGCAGAAGCAAGTTGGGTAGGGCCATCCATGCAGAGGGAAGAGGAGGCTTGTGGGCACACCTTAACAGCATCGAAGTTGTCCTGGATGGGGACCTGGGCCCAACCTAGGGACATCCTGAGCAGGACAAGGAGGGAGCTGATCAGCAGAGTCTGCAGCATCGTGTCAGATCCTCTGGGGCTACAGCAGGACAGGAGAGCTGGGGCGGCTTCTGCCAGAGGGACTTTTATGCCCCCCAGATGCCCTGGGGCAGCTAGCTGGCTGGCCTCTGAGGAAGCCCACTGCGATAAGCTCCCTCTCCAATTGCACCCTGTAGCACCTAGCCCAGCTGCTTCCACTCAACCCCGCCCTCCCAGCCCCGTGTTTCCTGTGGGAAGGGCTGGGTGTGTGGCAGCTGGGGACAGGCAGTCCTGGCAGCCACTGGGCCAAGGGGCTGCCTGACAGACACGCGCCCTGCTTCTCTGCCTTCTAGCCCTCCGGATGTTGGCCCTAGCCTTCTGCTCAGGCACAGCCCAGGTCCCCTCCTGCTCCAGGAGGGCCACCCAGAGGCCCACTTCATGACTGAGCCTACCAGGGAGCTGGCACATTGTAAACCAGGAGGGCCAGGGACAGGATCCTGGGAAGGACCAGCCTGGTGGGTACCTGAGGGAGAGGGAGGGGTAGGCAGGGGGCTGGCCCCACAGTGTGGCTTTGGTGCCAGGACTCTGGTGAGGGGCGGGGCTGCATGCTCTGGAAGCCCAGGCCACGGGTGGTGGAACTGTGAGCAGAGGTGTGGGGTGACCTATCCCCAGCTCACTCTGTCAGCCTTTCCCAGCAAGGGCCATAGATTCTCTAGCACCTTCCAAACAAATGTTCCTTTCTGTGCCTTCCCAAACCTTGCTTAATCTGAGTGCACTAATCCCAAACCTTGAAAAACCCATCTGATCCAAAGCTCCTTGGCCTTTCCTGTTTAGGGGTGATTGGGCGGGGTGGGGGTGGACACCTGTCTAAGGGATTAGCTACTGACTGACCCCCACCAGCTCATAAATTGGCAGCTCAAGGGGGTACAGATGGAGGAAGTGGGGCTGTGGTGAGGTCACAGCCATGTGCAGGGTAGGGTGCAGCTCGGAGCACTCCTCCTTAGCTGTCCTGACTCAGGAGCAAACACCAGCTTTGGGGACTTCGTACTGATGTTTTGAAGCAGGGACTGGTGAACAAAGTGTCAGAGGACAGATAGGCAAGACTCAGGCTCTCATTTGCTTCCAGAGTTTATTTCTCAGGTCTGGGATAAAGCCCAAGGGTGCAGAGGTGCTTTGGGGAGCCGGGGCCACGGTCTTGAAAGAAGCAGCGGAGCAGGGGAGTCCTGAGGCTGGGTCACCTGGCTGGGAGGACAGGAGCCACTGGTAGTGCAGGAAACATCCTACCCGCCCCACTGGCCCAGAGTGAACTTCTAGTGTGGGCCTCCTACCTAGGGTCCCTCCAGAGCCTGGTCCCCTGGTCTCAGCAAATGCACCAGCAGAGTCCTCGACCTCCCCTATCCAGCCCTCATTCCCTCCACTCCACCTTCTAGCCCCTCCACTCTGGTCTGAGTTCCCAGTGGACCTCCTGCCCTGCCTCCAGGCCTTCCTACCCCCAGGAGCCAGAGATCCCTGCTGTGAGATGGTCCCTGAAGGAGGGGTCCCTCTCCCTTTCTGCCTGGGACCTACCCTCCTGGGCCCCTGGGAATCAGCCCTAGTCTGTGGGGGGCAGGTCTTCCTTCCGATGGTTGTAACTGAGGTCTGGTCTGCTCTGGGAGCTCCTGCCCCCACCCCACGACCCCTGAGGTGGCGGGTGTGTGCTAAATGGTGAGTGGTACCTGAGTGGCAGTCCCGGGGGAAAGGGCCCCGCACCAACTCACTCACCTATTCTTGCTCCTTCAGGCATTTATCTGTCAAGAAAGAAGCCCAGGGGGCCATGGTCAGTGCCACAGGCCTGGRCCTTTCTCCTTTCTGGGCTTCCTGCCCCTCTCCTCATGGTGAGGAACCTGCCCTAAAGGCCCTGGAGAGCTGGGTCTTGATCGAGACCCCAAAACTGCAGACTTCATCCCACCCCCAACACTYATGGCACCACCATGAGGAACCGGGGGCCTCTGCGTCCTTGTGGCTGGCAGGCAGGGTGCCTGGTGTCCTTTGGGAGGGGGTTCCTAGTAAAGGGGCCTGCAGCCAGAGGTCATGGGGTGTGGAAAGACCAAGAGCACCCTGTCATCCCAGGGCTGTAGGCAGGTCAGAGGGTGGACGGGCAGGGCCATCCTGTCCCATCCTATCCCACTCAGGGCCTCGCCTACCCTAATCTGACTGTAATCCACTGCCCAGCCGATTAGCCCCCCTCACCATTCTGGGGAAGGAAGACAATGTCGTCCTCTGTGAAACCATGGGCCTTGCAAAAGTCAGCAAACTTCTCCTTCAGCTCAGCCCTTGGGGTCTGAGTGCGGCCTGGGTGGGTAGAGAAGAGCCAGCCTTGGTGAGGAAGCTCTCTGCCCTGCCCTACCCTGAGTCTTGGGGACCCCTCCCTGGGATCCCCTCTAGGATCAGGTGTCAGTTCTCTGCTGACCCCATGCCAGGCCAGCCTAGGGGTCCCTTCGTGGGAGCCTGTGGGGTGGGGAACCTACTGTAGAGCGTGGCCATGTGGAAGTCCTGGCCAGGGCCCTTGGTGCCCTGGCTGAACAGCAGTGCGTACTCCTTGTAGTTGGTCTCCACCACTGAGACCGCGTGGGTGCTGCCCCAGTCTGGGAACCCAAGAGAGAAGCCTGGTTGGGGGCACCTGCCACTGCTTGGGGAAAGGGTGTCTTCTATGGGAGGGGTTATGGGTGTGCGTGGGAGGGTCTCAGGTCCTGGGCCTGCAGGGGATGCTCCCCTCTGGCTGGCTGCTCCCCAGTCCCTCCCCAGTTCAGCCCCTCCAGCTCGGGGCTTCCCATCTGCCCAGGAACTGTGTTCCCCAACCAAAGTCCTCAGGGTAAGAAATACACAAGATCAGATAACCATGAGCTCGTGGTCCAGCAGGGAAGGGGAGGTGGAACTGGAGTGCCTGGGGGTGCCCTAGCTGGGCAGAGGAGACCTGGGAAAATTCCATCCAGCAGGGAGGGGCCTGGCACAGCATGAGTGGGCTTGGGAGAGGTTCCAGTCCCTTGGGGGAGGGTCTCTCAGTCCCCCCCAAACCCAGCAGGATCATGCCCAGACCTTGATGGAGCTGACCCTGGTGGAGTGGCCATCACCCCAGCAAATGCCTTGGAGGGGATGAGGGGCGGGGTGGAGCCCACTCACGTGGACTCAGGTAGCTGTAGGAGCCAGGGTTCCCCGTGGGCTGCAGCAGCATGGTTCGGGTTTCACACTGGTTTTTCCTGTGGGCAGGTTACTTCCGAGGTCAGGGGTCAGGCCTGAGGATGTCCCCAGACGGCGACAATAGGGTGGGATTGTCTAGGTCCCAGAACCCGCCGTCCCACCTGAGGAAGGTGGAGGTGAGGTTGAGTCCGCCGTCCACGGTGGGGGTCACCACCGACTTGCACATGGACAGCATCGATTTCTTCTCCCGGAACCAGCTCGAATTGGAGGCGAGGCCCGCGCTGAACCAGCGCCCCAGGAACTGTGGCGAATGAGCGCGACAGGGTCGGCGGGGCGCAAGCGGCGGGCACCGAGACCCCCACCTCCGGCCTCCAGCCCGGCCCCGCCCCCCATGCCGTGATGACCACGCCCCTCCAGGGGGCCCACCCCTCAGGCTTGCCCCGCCCATTCTCCGCCCCCGGGCCCACCGGGCGTCTGCCCTCTCCCGGGGACGTCCCTGGCCGGCCCGATCAGCATCCCAGTGATCTGGAGAGGCGCGGTCTGCCTGGCAGAGCGCGCCCCATTCCTGGAGGGGTCAGGGCGGGGTTCCCCTCGGCTAAACGCGAGGCGTCCGCGAGACGCTGGGGAGGGGCTCGCGGCGGCGCGCTCAGGGGCAGGGACTCGCGCGTCCCCGCCAGCTCCGGCGCTTGAGTCCTGGTGGCTGGTTGTGGCCCGAGCGCGTCCCCGCCCGCACTGCGGGGTTCTCTGCCAGTTCGGTGTGCCATCGCCGTCTGCGCAGTGCGCAGAGACGCGTCCTGGGACCCAGCGTGGGACGTAAGCCTGTGTGTGCGCTGGGGATGGTGTTTGAACGGCGTGGGCGTGGGCGCTACACGGCCCTGGTGTCTGCGTGTTCAGTCAGTGGAACCGGTGAAATGCCGCTCTCACCGCCAGCCTCCACGGTCAGCCTCCTGGGGCAGCCGCGCAGCCCTCCTTCCCCGCTTGGCCCAGGCTCTGTCCGGTTCTGCCGGGCACTGCAGGACTTAGCGCCCCTTCACCAGGGAGAAACAGCCCTGAAAGTGCCCATTCTCCTAGGGCCTGTACAGTCTTTGGTCAGGGGACCCTCACCTTGTCCTGTTGGAAGTCGGGCTGCACAGAGACCTGGGCCTGGGTCTGCAGGACCCCCAGGACCCCCAGCAGAACCAGCTCCATCCACAACATGCGCAAAGTCGCCATTCTCGTGGAGCAGAGCAGGTGTCCCAGTTGGGTACCAGCAGTGTGGGCAGAAGAGGGTAGGTGGGCAGGAGGAGCAGAGGACACTGAGGAGACCCCTATTTATTGGCCAGGCTTGGCCTCCACCCAGGGCCCAAGGACAGCCCACAAGAGGCTCGTGATTCTGAGGGGTGGGGTGGCTGAGCCCAGCTGCAGCCTTGTCCCCCACAGGGCTGCTTATGCAAGAGGCTCCCACAGAGACCAGCCAGGGCCCTGCTGTGCTAGGGACATAGCTGGCCAAAATCTTGTCTATTCCATTCTTGCTGGCAAGCCCACCCACCCCAGCAGCTGGATGGGCAGGGAGGCGCTGCCCTACCTCTGGGGCCTCTGGTCACTGCCCACCTGGGGCCAAGACCTTCCTCTCACAAAATCTACCCATCATTCACTCTCCTTGAATGAGAGGCTTGAGACTTAGGGAACCCTAAAGCCTCAGTTGTACATTGAGAATTTGGTTCAGAGAGGCCAGCAGGCCAGGTGGTGACCAGAAGCTCCRGCCAAGGCAAAGAAACTCAATCTAAGAGGCAGGGCACTCAAGGCAGGTGTCCTAAGCACAGCAACCCCGTGACCAGATGTGGGGCTTTGATGATGGTCCCCTTAAGTGACCTTGGGGAAAGAACACAGGAGTAGGCGGAAAGGGATGGGGCCGCAGGCTGAGAGGGCCATCTGACTTCAGTGGGGGGGTTGCAGCCTGCCACTGCTTTCTGGCTTTGTGGCCTCTTCCCTGTCTGGGGACCTGCAGGCCCTGGGAATGAGGCCTATGTGTCCTGCCCTTCCTCCCACTGTCTGGGTCCCTGGGGCATAGGTTTATTTAGCATCAATAGCTGGGTGAGCAGTGCCACAAGGGTTTCTTGCTTTCTCAGTGATATTGGGACTGTTGGGGGTGGCAGGGCAAAGGCCAAGGTCGGAGGGTGGGGCCAGAGTCAAGAGGCACCCCAGAGTGAGCCCGAGACCCTGCTTCTTGCCCAGCCCTGACCAGAGCAGTCCATCCATGCCCTGGGCCAACAGGGAGAGACTCTGAAAGGACAGGCAGGACTTGGGGCCCTGACTCCAGGACCCTGCACTGCCCCTTGGCTGCATCAGGCCCCAGCTTGGTCCAGCAGCAGATCTGGAGAGTGCAGAGTGGACCAGCAGAGTGGCCAAGGACAGGGTGTGGGGGCAGGAGGAGGTGTGTGGAAGGAAGGGCCCCTGGGGGTGTGCCACTGAGTCCTGGCTGCCTCTAGCCTGGGGAGAGCTGTGGTGGTCTTGAAATGCTTCCAGGGGTGGGAGCCTCTTGGAAGAACACCTGGCCCCCTGGCGGTCCTTGGTGGTAGCTCCACCCCAAGGGTGGCCCTGCCTGGTGGGAGGAGGGCTGCCTCTTTCTCCCCCACCTGGGCCAGCACAGGCATGGCCCTGCCCCACACGGCTCTGTGTCCCTTCAGGAGAGATTCTGCCCTGCTCCAGGCCAGAGAGCCCTCACTCACTCAGCACCCACTCACAGGGCTGCCCAGGCCAGACTGGCTGCACTGCAAACTTGAGACACAGAGCTACCCCCTGTGGGAAGGGACAGCGAGTAAGAGGGGACAGGACTCTTATGCAAGGCCCAGGACCAGGCAGGGGCCAGGGTTCTGGCATTAACAGCTCAGCCCATCCCCAAACAGCAGGCAGCCCTGCCCCAGGGGGCCACTCTCCAGAGCCCACCCTGCCCTCTCCTGGCATTGGACCTCGGCCTTTCTTGCTGCCTCCTCTCTGACCCCTCTCCTGGTGACTTACCTCAGGGGCCCACGCTCCCCTGGCTCCTGGGGTGCACCTGTCTCTCACCTGACGGCCCTGTCCCCTGGTGTCCTAGAGCTATCTCCCCATCCTGCCCTGCTGCCCTCCCTCCCCCAAGAGCCAGGTCCCATTCTGCCCGGTGACCAGAGCCCAAAGCCCAAGGTGTAGGTTGTCCGTGGCACTCCTCCAAGTCCCGACCTGCCCCCCACCTCTGGTTGCCCAGCTCCTCCCCTTCTCCAGGCCCATACAGCTTCCAGGCTATGCTGGACACAGCCGGGTCCAGGCCCCCCGAGCTCAGCAGGAGACCCGAGCAGACATATGATGTGCACATGTGGCTGTCCAGCTGCCAAGCAGGACTGTGCACCACCAGGGACTGGGAGCGGGCACATCTGCCTGGCTGCTCTGCACACCAGTTTCTTTTCTTTTTTTATTTTAATATTTATTTCTTAGTTGGACATAGTACCTTTATTTTGTTTATATATTTTTACGTGGTGTTGGGGATCGAACCCAGGGCCTCACGCATGCTAGGCCAGTGCTCTACCATTGAGCCCCAGCCCCAATCCTGGACACCAGTTTCTTTGGGTCACAGGGAATGTGTCCTTGAGATATCACTGAGGCCATCCCCCTGCCTCTGGCCCAGGCCTGGGCTCCAGAACCAGTCCCAGTCTAGTCCTGAAGGGGAGTGGTTTCTTCCTCGGGGTGCGACAGTGTCTGAGGCAGGCAGCGATAGGTCCAGGCCTCTGCCTCAAGGGGTTCGCTCTCAAGGGCCCAGGCTGCTCCAATACCTGGTGAGCCCTGTGTCTGGCTGTCCACCGGCCTTGACCTACTCTCTAAGGCCTCCTTGGCCCCACCCACCTGTGCCTGGCAGTTAGTGTCCCCCCCTCTGGCTATGGGTAGTTGTTGTGGGAAGGGGCTTTGGAGGACACAGGTAGTCAGGGGCAGCCCCTGGACCCTGTGTGTCAGGCCCAGCTAGCCTGCCTTTCAGCCCTGCCAGGAAATGCTCCTCTGGAGCACTGGAAGGAGGGGCAGTGCCCTGGTCCACCAAGAAGAAGCTGGATAAGTATTCGGGGCTCTGAAAGCCAGGCGGAATGTTGTGCTGGTCAGCAGCGTGAGAGGGATGGGCTGAGTGTGGAGAGGGCAGTGCAGCTCAGGGCCTCCAGGGCCATCTGCGTCAAGGGGACACTCTGACTTAAGGGGGCTGTGCTGGTGGCACCCCAGGCCCTTCTCTCCCAGGCTGGCCTCTGTCATGCCTCGTCTATCAGGTTAGCCTCTGCTGACGCTGGACATGGCCACCCTCCACCTGCCCTCCCAACTGCCTGTGCCCTTCCTCACACAGCCCAGGAGAATGCACCCTCCAGGAGTCGAGCAGGGCAGGAGTTGGGGTAAGATCCACCCTGGAATTTGCGTATCTGTGCATTGCTGGCCAGGTCCTGTGGAGGGGGAGGTTGAGGATGGCCTCCACCTGTCCTGGGGCCAGGGAGCTGGGGGTGGCTGGTCCCCTCTGGAGGGCAGAGGTCCTGCCCAATTCTGCCTTAAGAAAGGGGCGTGGCAGGGCTGTGGGGAGGGACAGCCAGGCCAGCACAGTCCTGCCCACTCCTGCTCTCCTCCACTGACCACCGCTGGGACCTCAGCTCAGGGCAGACCTTTGGTGCTTCCAGAAGCTGTCGGCCCAGCCTTGGTGGCCAAGCCCCAGTGACTCCATTGCCTGCTGAAGGGTTGGGCAGGGGGGCTCTGGCTGGGCACCCCTCTCCTCACGATGCTGAAAGGCTGGTTTTAGGGGAGGGGCTTGCTCCTCCAGGACTGTGTGTGTGTGTGTGTGTGTGTGTGTGTGTGTGTGTGTGTGTGTCCCTGCTGTGAATTGGGCTGGCAGGAGTCTCCAGTGTCTCCTGGCTATGGCCAGGGGGCACTGGGGCAGCTGAGTGTCCTGGGTCTTGGTCCAAGCCTGTCCCTAAGTCAGAGACTCCTGCCTTTCAGTCTGGAATAGAGGACAGCCCAGTGGTGTCCTCCACTCCAGATCCTAGCCTAGTCAGTGAGGTCCAGGCCTCAGGACCCTCCCTCACTGCATTGTCCCTTTAAGGCTGGACCTGACGCCTTTTCAAACACTCTGGAGAAAAGTGACTACAGGGAAGTGGGCATGCAGCTCTGTGCAGGGTCATGGAGGGGTCCCTGGCAGAGGGCAGCTGAGCTCAGGCCCTGAGGGGTTGGGGAAGGTGTCTTGGTCATGAGCCCCTCTGGCCACCATCTCGAGCACCCCGGGGGCCCCCCTGGTCACTGTACACTCCCTGCTCCCAAGCTGGGACCAGTTCCTGCCAAATGTCATGGAAGGTGGCCCATGTTGGAGGACAGGTCAGGCTCTGTTGGCCCTGGAGTTGAGACCAGTCCAGGAACATGCCCTGTCCAGATGGGAAGGTGGACACTGGAGGGATAAATGAGGACATATCTGAGGGGATGTCCTATATCTCAAGTGAGATACCGTGGCTCCTCCAGGCTGGGAGTGCCCCAGTGGCATGGCCCAGAGCCCTGTCCCACACTGATGGTGGACAAGGACGTCGGACCCACTCCCCTGTCACCAGTGGGTTTATTTCTGATGGGAGAATGGCAGACAGGGCTGAGCTGCCTTGCAAAGGGCCCGAGCCAGGCTGAGATGGCGGTGAGAGCCCAATCTGCAAGGGACAGAATGGCCCTGAGGGGACATTCACCCCTCAACAGGAGTAGGGGAGGCTGGAGCAGAGTCCAGGGCAGCCAGAGGCCAGGAAGAGTGGGGTGAGCTGACCGGGAACAGGGCAGGAGGCCACTAGGAGCCAGGGGACAGAGGCCCAGGGTAAGATCTCAGTTGCTTCCCCACCTCGGTGGATCCCAGCACAGGGCCCCAGAACCCCCCAAGCCCCAGAAGCCACAGGCGTCACACTCAACGGCTCACACAGGCCTCTGGTCACAATCACCTGTGAGGACAGAATGGTCAGAGAACCCCAGCCTGAGGGCACACCTGCATGACTCCTGACCTCCAGAGCCCCTTGCACCCCCAGGGCTGGCTCAGTCGCTGCGAACGAAGGTGTCCTAGGATGGGGACGTGAGGTTTGGGGGTGGCACATTTTGGGCACAAGTGCATCCTCTCCTCCAGATCCTGGAACAGCCAGTGGAGGGCCAGGCTCCCAGACCCTCCCTGACTGCACTGTCCCCTCTAAGGCTGGACCTAATGTCCCCTCACACAGTGCACACTGCCCAGGCTCGGGCCACAGGGCAGATCTGCATCTCCTACTTCCAGATCCTTCTCTGTCCTCCCCACTGGGCCCCCACCTCCCCTG